AGTTAACACAGCATGGGTTTCTTTTCCCACATTATTATTTTTGCCTCCAGCAGAAGACTATCGACTCATAAAATAAAGTCTCTAAAGAATCTTTTTTTTTAAAAAAAATCATTTCATATATCCTGTAGTCGCCAGCAGAGGGCACTCTAAAACCACAGGAGAAATTCTGTTTCATCCACCTTTTTCGTTCTTAAACTTTGCCTGCTTTAAAAAGCCCATATCTGCTTCTCATTTTTAGCCCACCATATACCATATTCATTTAAATATATATATATATATCAGCACGAATGGTTGATTCATTTGCACAGAGGGGATCTTCCCTCCCCCCCCCACACCACACACCACCACTTCTGCAAATTAGGACTGGAAATCAAGCTGAACACTTTAATGGACAAATCATTTGCTCCAGGCGCCGAACTCTTATTTAACTTACAATGATGCTTTTTTTTTTTTTTTTTCACATGACAGTAATTTGTTGAGCGGAAGATGGCTGCTGTCTGGGTTTGTTTTAAAGCTGTGTTCCTGATTCTTATAAAATCTACAAGACAGGAAAGTAGCACGGCATCCGTTGTGGGATTCCTCCTTCGATGCTTCCTCAAAAGATCCGCAACTCTGTTCTTACTTAGAGGGAAACAGCATGTTTCCTTTGGATTGATGAGATCCTTTTCTTCTCCATCCCAATGCATTGCAGACCCTGTCTTAATTACTCTTCTTAGTTCTGGACCTCTCTCTTTTAAAAATAATTCAGGCAAACTGAAATGGGTGTAAAGAAAGGCACAAGAAATAACAGAATAATAGGAGTTGGGAAGAGACATTGGACATGGTCCAACCCAACTGCGCAAGCAGGAGACAGTATACCATTCCAGACAAGTGGCTGTCCATTCTCCTCTCTTCAATCACTCTTCCACTGATGAAGCACCTACAACTTCTGAAGGCAAGCCATTCCACTGGTTGCTTGCTCTCACTGTTAGGAAATTTCTCCTTAGTTCTAGGTTGAATCTCTCCTTGATTAGTTTCCATCCATTGTTTCTTGTCTGGCCTTCTGGTGCTTTGGAGAATGGGTTGATTCCCTCTTCTTTATGGTAGCCCCTGAGATATTGGAACACTGGCATCATGTCACCCCTAGTCCTTTTTTTTAACCAGACTAGACAAACCCAATTCCTGCAACCGTTCTTCGTATGTTTTAGCCTCCAGCTCAATGGTGGTATTCAATTTTTTTTACTACTGGTTCTGTGGGCATGGCTTGGTGGGCATGGTTTGGTGGATGTGGCAGGGGAAGGATATACTGAAAAATCTCCATTTCCACCCCACTCCAGGGGAAGGATATACTGCAAAATCCCACTCCCTCCCCACCCCACTAACCTGCTTTCCAGCTCCGTTCTCCTGTGCATGGCAACCAAAGAAGACTCAGCCAATCAGCTGGGACTCGGGAGACAGAGAACAGATGGGGGCGGGGCCAGTCAGAAGTGGTATTTGCTGGTTCTCTGAACTAGTCAAAATTTCCACTACTGGCTCTCCAGAACCTGTCAGAACTGGCTGAATACCACCTCTGCTTCAGCTCCCTAATCATCCTTGTTGTTCTTTTCTGCACTTTTTCCAAAGCCTTTACATCTTTCTTATAATGTGGTGACCAAAACTGGATTGCAATATGTGACCTTACTGAGGTTTTATAAAGCAATATTAAATACTTCGCCTTCTGTCTCTTGGTTAGTGCAATCTAGGATTATCAGGATATGGAAACCATGTAGAGTGAACAGAGATTGAACAAATTGAGAATGCTTAAACCTTGAGAAGAGACAATGGAAAGGATATCACAGAGACAGTAAACAAGATCCCGAAAATCCGGATACAAAATAATGGTTTTGAGTTATAGGGAGGAGAATTCTTGTTGTCTGTCAGAACAAATATTTTAATAGCAAGAGTGGTCTGACATTAAAACCTACAAAAATGATGGGCTCTCCTTTTCTGATATGATCTGGCAGAAGCTGCATTTGTTAGAGATGTTTTCATTTATACCCTTGCACAAAGCAAGGGATTTAATGGCCTATATGGGGGCACTGTACTTCTATAAAGCACATTTTGCAACAGCTCTCAAAACCTGAAGCCAGAACTGTTGGACTCTTTTGGAAAAACAAGCAAACATTTGTTATTTGAAATGTCTTTTAGACGTGTAAAAAAATGGCTTCTATCTGGAGAGAAACAACAGTAGAAGACCTTCTGGGAGAAGGAAAGGGAGGGGAAAGAGAAAGCTGGGAAGCAGAAAAAGGAGAAGAGGAAGAAAAAGGAGAAAGAATAACAACACCAGAGAAGGGAAGGGATCTCGGAGGTCTGAGTTATTCCCTCAGAAAAGCAAAATAATGGAGATAAATCCAATAAGGGAAAGAATTGTCTCAACATCTTCAATAAAGCTGACATTGCAAACTTGGGATCTGAAAGGACAAAACCTCTGGATAAATCTCTATTGCCAAGATGGCTTATCTGGTTAGCTGGAGATGTACTTTGATTTAATAGTTGAACGGACTGACATTTCAAAGCTCTGCCCATAGGAGGTCAAAGGGGTGCCTGTGAATAATGCAATATTTCTTCCTCCTCCCCGGGGTCTATTCCTCCCTCCCCCTATTTCTTATGGCAGACTGGCATGTAGCAAAGCCAAGCTGGTGGGATAGCATGGGAGTCCTGACAATTATATTATGCACCAAATAACTTTTTATCTGGATCCTCAGCTTTCTACTTTATAGAAATATCTTTACATTGTCTGGATGTTGCTTAAAAATAAATCTCATTCATCAGTTTTGGCATCCTTTGCCCCCAAACACTACTAAAATATGGCTCTGTGTAATATGCCATATAGAAAGATAAAAATAAAAGTTCTGTAAACAGCAATGTATAGCACTTCTATGTATTAATCTTTTGTTGTTGTTGTTGTTCATTTGTTTTACCAAATACATTTACAGTCTTGGCATGCAAATAATCCAAATGGTTGTTTTTGTAATAAAACAAGAAAAATAAATCTTAGTAATATCTTATCCATGATAAAAAGTGTTAGCGTTTTAAAGGCTTTCAGTTCTTTTAAGCTATAATGCAATGGGAGTGGTGGGAAGAATTAAATTATCTAACATTTAGATCCATGCATTCATCTAAATCCAATACATTCCATGCCTTTCTTCTTTTTTTTTAAGGTTTCCACTCTAAAGTTTGATCTTCATAACTTTAATTTAAAAATAAAACCAAGAGTTTTTTAAAAATTCTTTTTAAGAGTAGTACAGGTTGCTCTTGGTTAATTAGGATTGGAAACCTTATCATTAAGCAACATGGTTGAAAAGCCATGTGTTTAGTGATCCCAATTCTTGCAGTCCTGGTTACCATTATTAAGCAAGAATCTCACATATTCCAAAAGTGAATTGACTTTCCTTCCCATCCCGCCCCCTGCCCTCCCCTTAAATTTTGTTTGTCACCATAATAAAGCTAGAGCAACACCCCATGCCCCAAATCTACTCCCATAGCCTTGTGGTGAACTTCTTTTATTTCTCTATATTTCCCTATTTGAACAGTACAAGAACTGATATTCCTTCTTCTTCTGCTTCTTTTCATCTCCACATGGAGTAGTTATTACATCCTTGCAGAATTTCATGTAGGCATCTACCTTGGTTTATGTTCCACACTTCCTAAATTCAGATAGGCAGCCTGTCAGAGGTTAATCTTGTTGATTCAAGGGATCTCTATTAGGCAAACTATTTCTGATCTTTGATGGGTTCTGAAAAGGTATTCAAGGCTTTGCTTTATAAAATGATTCATAGATATTGGATTTTTTAAAATTTATGTTATTTATCCAATTTTGGTGCCACCTGACTCCTTGACAGTTCTGGGAAGTTTACGTATAAAAGAAAAAAACAATACATATAAAAAGAAATCACAGCCAACCAGAAGAACAATAAACCAAGCATAACTAAAGGAGGCTCTACAACTGTACTATCTCAAGGCCTGGGAGAGCAACCAGAGTTTTAGACATTCATAGACTCATAGGGCTGGCAGAGACTTTGGATGTCTTCCCTACCCAACGCAGGAGACCTTGTATCATTCTAGACAAATGGTTCTTTTCTTGAAAACCTCCAGCAGTGGAGCACTTACAAATCAAGTCCTAGGACTCTACTCAAAGGGAATAAAGATTAAGATTGTTAAAAGTAAAGTGCAGGAATATAAAGTGAGGTTATTTGGTCAAAGTTAAAAATTTATTTTGTATTTTGTTCCTGGTAATTCTTAATGGATTTATTTTGGACTATGAACAAATGAGGACATTATAAAGAGTTGTTTATATGTTAATAGGGGAAGGAGCATTCCTTTGTTGTATTTTTTAGAGATGATATTACTGTGTGAAAAATAAAGGAAAGAAATATAAACTAGTTTGTTTGATTAAGGTTGAAATATATAGACCATTGTTTCTTATCACAGTTAATAGATTCTTCTTGACTAGATGATGAGATTTTAAGAATCTGTTTAAATATGAGATGAGACGTTGGATGAAGAGTATTTTTGTTGCAGTATTAGATAATAAGCTATTGCAATTGTTTGTATTTGTCATGATGAAGGTGGAAGTTGTTTATATAGCATTTTTCATATATACACACGTACATTTAGTATTTTTTTAACTTTCTCTCATTCTACTCTTCTATATTTTTCTTAGTTTCTATTAGTTTTTTTATCTCTGCAATTGTAAACTTTAATAAAACTACTATTAAAAAAAATTTGTAGCACAGCTTCAAAGTGATTTTCTTCAGCTGTGCTAAATCTTCCCAAGGTTGCAGAGGCCATGTAGATGGTGGAGATTCAAATGGGTGCATTGGGGAATTCTCAGAACTTAAAAAAATGCAAGCTGATTGCAAATGAGCTTTTCAATTTCTGGAAAAATAATTGCAGGATGGTGTCAATAGATTTTTCCAGGGGAAGACAGGGGGGAGGGAAATGGTTCTTGAAAAGATGAGGCAAGTGCATCTATAGAACTCAGGTTTCTTGGTCTCCCCCTGCCCCCTTTCTAGCTGTTTTGATAGGGAAAGTAGATTTGAATTTCAAATAAACACGGGAATAGTTTTTCCCATTGGTGCTTCAACCAGAGGCATTGTGTTTGATGTTGGGTGTTCTCTGTTACCTGAACGGTTCTGCAGATGTAAAACATTGCTTTATGTGTGATTTACCCAGTCAGAAGGATGTGTGTTTTACCACGTAGCGCTTCCATAGCAGCGTATTGAGGCTGGCTGGCTGACCGTTTTTGCAGTCCATGTTCAGCTTGAACCTAAAATCCTTCTCTTATGGATTCTTGCATTATTCAACAGGAAGCAAGAGGAGCGAGTGCAACAGGTACGGAAAAAACTGGAGGAGGCACTGATGGCAGACATCTTGTCCCGGGCTACGGATGCAGCACAAGTAGATGAGGTTGAAATGGACAATGGAGAAGAGGCATAAGAATTAAATAATCAGGTACAGTCCAAGTTTATGGGAAAAAAGTGTAGTAGAATGATCTCTCTCTTCCCCTTCTCCTTTCTTTCTCCCTCTTTCTCTCTCTCGCCTCTCTCTGTTTCTCTCTCCTCTCTGTTTCTCTTTCTCTTGTCTCTTTCTCTCTCTCTCCTCTCTCTTTTTCTCTCTTTCTTCTCTCTATTTCTCTCTCTCTGTTTTTCTCTCTCCTCTGTTTCTCTCTGTTTCTCTTTCTCTCTCTGTCTCTCCTCTCTCTTTTCTCTCTTTCTTCTCTCTCTCTATTTCTCTCTCTCTCTCTCTCTGTTTCTCTCCCTCTCCTGTCTCCCTGTTTCTCTCTCTCTCCTCCCTCTTTCACACACACATCTCCTTAATACACCCTTTTCCCCCTCCCTTCTTTCCTCCCTCCCTCCTTTCCTCTATAATCTGCATCTATCCATTTCTCTCTCTCTCTCTCTCTCTCTCTGTTTCTCTCTCTCTCCTGTCTCCGTTTCTCTCTTTCTCCTGTTTCTCTCTCTCTCACACACACACATCTCCTTAATACACCCTTCTCCCTCCCTCCCTCCCTTCTTTCCTTCCTCCCTCCCTCCCTTCTTTCCTCCATAATCTGCATCTATCCATCTCTCATGGCCACCAACCTCACAAACAGGTGACTCTGGGTAGCATACAACAAACCTTTCCCTTAATATTTTGAATTCCATGTAGTGGGGAAAGGCAAGGAATTAAACCATATTTCTGAGGTGCTTGCAAAATTCTGGGTTGGAAAAATCCTTCTTCAGAATGCTTAGCAACAATGCATTTAAAATTGAACCCTAAACAGAAACAGGGCTTGGTTCATCTCTCCCCTACTTAAAATGTTATTTAAAAAAAAAATTCTATATAACAGTTTAAAAAGGAGATAAATCCCTGGGAATGCTTTATTGTAGTGGCCCGAGAAGATGGAGAAAAATACCATTATGATGTATGATGGACTCAGACAGATTCCTTTGACAAAGCTCCTATTTAGTCTGAAGCCTCTAATGTTTACAGACCCTGTTGTCCATCACAATGGCTACCAATTCTGAAGAATTCCCTTTGAGCTCTTCCCCAGTGCAGCCTATCTGCTCATCCACTTATTTATCTGCAGGCAGTGCCTCATTTCTTGCACCAGACAAGAGGCAGATGGGATTCCTTTCCAATTTTTCCCCTCCCTCCTTCCAATTTCTGTAAGAAATAACAGGAACTTAAGCCAGTGACAGCTCAATCTTTCTGCGCGCACCCATTGAGTTCCGTTGGACTAATTTTCAGCTGAACAAGGAAGAGAAGAATGATGAGAAGTGGATTTCTGTAGAAAATTGAGGCTCTTGGCAAGTTCAGTTAAACTATTACAGCCATCTTGAGACTTCAGCGTATAGGGAAACTTGTGTTAAGCTTTCTGGGGATTGCTGGGTTGTAGCTTTTGACTTGGAAAGAACAATTATACATCATTTAAAACATCATCATTCATTCTCTTTCCTCTCCATTTTTTTTTCAGGTACTTTAAAAAAAAAGAAAAAGAGACTCCCAGATAAAAATTTCTGGAAATTGGAAGCGCTTTTATGTTTTCCGTTGGTCTTTTGTGATAGAAGAAGACCTCTGCACATTTATATAGCTTTCTAATAGCATTAAAAACCAATGCCCTTTTTTGGCTCTTATTATTATTATTAATTATTATTTTATTATCCTATTTTTGATGTACATATCTTGTTAAGAAAAGAAAGAAAAAAAAAGGGAAAAAAAAGAAAGAAAGAAAAGACCCTACTCTTTATTTTGTGTCTTACGACTTCAAAAGTCTCCTTTTATTTGTTTGGCGATGTTGAATGGCTCCTGAAGACTGAAGCTGAGCTTTTTCGATGCCAAGTTGGCGATTCTGTTAAGGACCTGGCAAGCACTAAATAATGAGCATTTCTTCCTTTTTATGTGTGCGGGTTTTTATTTTTTGCAAGAATAGATCAGGAAAACAGATTGTTTCCCAGTTTAAAAAAAAAACAAAGAAAAGAAATTGTGTCATGATTTCTTGTACATATATTATATAAAAGATTTTTTTATACTGGAACTGAATGGGAAAAAAAATCTGTAAATTGACCCATCATCATTCTCTAAAGATAAATAAATACTTTTATTCAGAGCAATTACACTTTTTAGAGTAATGTACTATAATTTAAGGCAAGGCTCTTATCTCTATTACTGAGCATTAGGCAGAGATAATATTGTTCAGTGAAAATAGCGAAATACCGGATGTCAAGCTGCTAAAGCCTTTGTTAAATTTATTGGGAAATTTATTTGCACTCTAACCCAATTACGGAAGCACTTCAATGAGTGTGCAATTTTCCAACATCGGATTTGGAGCCTCCATCCTCCTTTTTGTAAAATGGGGAAATCATGACCTACCTCACAGGGTTGTTGTGAGGATGAGCTTAATAAAAAAAAAAGGAAAGTATTTTTTCAATGAAATGGTATTCCCAAATGAATAGAAATGGATAGACAAAAGATGGGTGACCATGATTACTTGTACGATAATACGATGACTTGTTCGAGCAGAGGGTTGGAGTAGAAATCTTCCAAGGTCCCTTCCAATCCTATTATTCTATGCTTTATGTCTGCTTTGATTAGAATTTCTCACCATTTAACAAGCTTATTGTAGATAAACACCATTGTTTAGTGCTTAAAGGTAAAGGTTCCCCTCGTACATATGTGCTAGTCGTTTCTGGCTCTAGGGGCGATGCTCATCTCTGTTACAAAGCCGAAGAGTCAGTGCTGTCTGAAGACATCTCTGTGGTCATGTGGCCAGCATGACTAAACACCGAAGGCGCACGGATCACTGTTACCTTCCCACCCAAACCCCTATTTTTCTACTTGCATTTTTACATGCTTTTGAACTGCCAGTTTGGCAGAAGCTGGGACAAGTAACGGGAGCTCACTCCATTATGCGGCACTAGGGATTCAAACCACTGAACTGCCGACCTTTCTGATCAACAAGCTCAGCATCTTAGCCACTGAACCATCGCTCTCTTTAGTTTAGTTTAGTGCTTGGGGAGAGCTAATTCATTGCAGACCAGACAAATAGTTGACTGTATTGGCTGAAAATTCTGAGAACTAATAAGAGATGTCGGACTGGAGAAGGCTAATCGAGTTGTTGAAGTGAGGATATCTGAGAAATCCCAACCTTTTACAAACACAAAGAGGACCTGAACTCAGCCCAACTCCCTCGGTTTCCTATAGGCTCAAAGCACAATTATTAAGTTTCCCGTTTCTTGGTTTTAAAGAATCTTTTTTTAATCTGCATTTGAAGATGTATATTTGAGAATAAAAAAAATTGAAAATTGTGTGTTGGAGAAAAATGAGCAAATATACATTTAAATACAGATTTGGAGATACAGATTTTTCTGTTTTTAGGGACTGCATATTGCTAGGGAAGTGAGACAGAATGGCTTCCTGCTGAATGTCTGTAAAATTAACAGAGCACTTTCCTAGTCCTGCTTTGAGGGTAGAGATGCTGAATTCCCTGCTGTGCTTCTTGTCTTCCGTTTGTAGTTTGTACCATTCTCCCTTAGCAAATAATGCCTGCTTGGGGAATCTCTACCAATTATCAGGCTTGTTGGTAGCTAAATTGTGTGGAAAAGCTGATCTGGGAGCAGGGTCCAGAAAAATCCATTCATCTAGTAGACTTGGAACCCAATGGGCCTTTCAGAGCCTGGTTATGGAAAAACTCACTCAGGACATGATTGTTTTTCATGAAACTTGGCCTCTAAGACATTCCTGTAAATGCATTTTAGTGGCTTTAGTGGCATTGAACAACTTGTTTTTTTTATTGATTCAGCTTCTATCTTGACTGTCCACACTGAAGTTCTGTCTATGATCCTTCCTACTTGTGCCTCTCCTTGGACTACGTGGGTCCTAAGGAGCCTTATTTCACCCATAGCTATACCAATGTTATAAAGTCATATCGTCCTCTTGTTATTAGATTTATGACCCAGCTTTATTTTTGTGCAACACATGAATGTAATACTCCCACTTTGGTGAGGCCACACGTGGAAGGGAATGAGACAGCATGTCACAGCCAACTTGCTGTGGCTAACTCACCATGGCTAACTTGCTGCAGGACAACTCACTGCAGGATAATTTAACAGAATAGAATAGAATAATAGAGTTGGAAGGGACCTTGGAGGTCTTCTAGTCCAACCCACTGCTTAGGCAGAAAACCCTACACCATTTCAGACAAATGATTATCCAATCTCTTCTTAAAAACTTCCAGTGTTGGAGCATTTACAAGTCCTGGAGGCAAGTTGTTCCACTGGTTAATTGTTCTAATGGTCAGGAAAGTTCTCCTTAGTTGCTTCTCTCCTTGATTAGTTTCCCTCCATTGCTTCTTGTCCTGCCCTCAGGTGCTTTGGAGAATAGCTTGACTCCTTCTTCTTTGTGGCAGCCCCTGAGATATTGGAACACTGCTATCATGTCTCCCCTGGTCCTTCTTTTCATCAAACTAGACATACCCAATTCCAGCAGCCATTCTTTATATGTTTTAGCCTCCAGTCCCCTAATCGTCTTCGTTGCTCTTCTCTGCACTCTCTTTATTTAATTATTTTAAATAAATGAAAATTATTTTAATTTTTGCTATTATCATTCCATTCTGTCCCTCCTTTTTCATCCTTTCTTTAAAGATTCTATGTCACCATTTCTTCGATATTAATATAACTCTTGTCCTGTGGCAAGTTGACTGTGCCGAATTGGCCATGGTGAGTTGGCTGCGGCGAGTTGGCTGTGATGAATTATCATAGACCCCACATGGAATACTGCATACAGTTTTGGTCCCCACAAAACAAAAAAGATGCTTGAAATCCTAGAAAGTCTGCACAAAAGAGCAATCAAGATGAAAAGGGAGGCTACATTGTATGATGAACGTTTGAGGGAGCTAGGTATGTCTAGCCTAACAAAGAAAAGGTCTAGGGCTGATATGATAGCTATCTTCCAGTACTTGAGGGGCTGTCACAGTGAAGACCCCTGAAACCTCTTCCAGCCCTATGATACTTTGTTCTATGTTTCACCTTCTGTGTAAGGACAAATGCAATGTGGGCATGCTTAGGCACATGGGGCAGTATGGTATGCTTTGAACACATAATGGGGATGTCTCTACACATTATTGGTAGATTGGCCTTGTTATGTTTGTTCTGTCAGACCAGTTCTATCACTGTGCATGTTGATGCTAGGAGAATTTATTTACACTAAGATTTGCCCAATAATATATGTATGGATATCTTTGAAACTCTAACAAGTCTTTTTAATCCAACAGAAAATTCCAGCATCAACAAGCAAATCTGTTCTGAAGTTTCTTTGTAAAAGTGCTATAAGATATATTTGTTTTAATAAAAGCCATAAGAGGCAAAAAAAATCTCTTGGTGAGATGGGGCAAGTAAATTGCAAATGTTACAATCCTCCACATGGAGTTGTTACCACATGAAAATTAAATCAGCATGACAAATTCTGCATTCTGGATGGCCGTTGGATTTACTAGGCCTTAATTACCTTAGCAGTACAATAGTATTAAAAAAACAAATTATGGCCCAAATTTATTAAGTGTGAATGACAACTTTGATTCAGTTAAAAAAACCTTTGAGTTATTTCCTATTCTTGAAGAAAAGGAGCCTTACGTTCTCCCAGGAAATGAAAATTTAATTAAGTTATGCAGCGGAATCAAAGAAGGGAAAAATTCAGAATATTTTCTTAGAAAATACACTGAATATCTGCTGGAGGTGGAATTTAGCTTTTTAACCAAATCTTGATAGCTGAGTTCCCATGGCTTGTTTGTAGCTTGGCAAGTTTTGTAAACCATGTTGTAAGTTTTATAAACCATACTGTAAACCATGGCTTGTCATTTAGTGTATTGTGTGAGTGCAACCAATACTGATTTATTCAGTAAAACAAGCTGGGCCTCCCATGACCTTCAACAGCCCATTTGTAGCCTTGCTTCTCCGCCCCTCCAAGCCCCCCTCCAAATGGTATTGTAAAATAACAAAAATTTGATAGCTTGATTGTGGTCTGTCTTCCCAGGTTTTGGATGGGTGTGAGAATGGTCATGGAAACATTTTACTCCTGGAAGATTCATGATTTTAATGACAACGCATTGAAACTAGGTCCTAAATGGAATAATGTTATTGCGTTTGTCTACCTAACCTTATTCTCAATTGTCATTCATGTCCCTTATTTCCCCATCACACTATGTTAGGAAGAAAGTGAGTCACCTATTCTTTTCATGCCAATAAAGGAGAATATTTGTAGTTCAGGGTTGAAATTAAGGGATCCTGGGTGCTGTCTGAGCTTGGTTGTTTTCTTGAAGATGTTTCACTACCCAAACTAGGTAACATCATCGGTGCTAAATGATGATGTTAGCAATAGCACTTAGAATTATATATCATTTCCCAGTGCTTTACAGCCCTCTCTAAGTGGTTTACAGAGTCAGCCTATTGTCCCCAACAATCTGGATCCTCATTTTACTGACCTCGGAAGGATGGAAGGCTGAGTCAGTCTTGAGCCTGGTGAGATTCGAACTGCCAAACTATTAGCAGCCAGCAGTAGGCAGAAATAGCCTGCAGTACCACATTCTAACCATTGTGCCACCACGGCTCTTATCTAGTTTGGCTAATGAGATGTCTGCAAGGAAACAAGCATGCTCAGAAAGCACCATTCTTGTCAAAAATATCAACTGAATCCTGAATTATCATCAAAAGAGTGAATCTCACTGAACCTCTATATAAACCTTTATTAATGATAAGAGCAGCAGAACAAACCTCTTTCCTGCTCTTACCACATTCAACTGTCAGCTTTATTTAGATGAGCTGGTCCCTTCTAGGTATAGGGGATTTGAGGAACATCTGCAGGACCTTCTCTCGGATAAAATTGGTTGGATCTTCTCTGAGCTGACACTAGACTATTTTAAGTCCTGTAGACTTGACTGAGGTATGGTTTGTCTTAGTTACCTAAGAATGCCACCAAATGTCTGAATTGGCATCTGGATGGGGGAAGAACAGACCAGCAAGAATAAGCATCTGTGGATTTGGGAACTTCCTGTATCCAGGGATTGTTTATTTTTTAGTTCTGGATGGAGTTGTACTCCCCCAGGCAAAACTGATGTCCAGTTTGAGGGTCCTGTTGAATTCTCAGCTTTTGCTGGAAAAGTCGATGCTCCTTTGGCCAGGAGGGCCTTTGAACAAAGTCATCTGTGTATCAAGTGTACCTATATTTTATGAGATTGCTCTCCTTGGTTCTTCATGCCTTGGGTTTTGATTGGACTACTGCTGTTGGGGCTGCCCTTGAAGATGATCTGGAAACTACAACTAGTCCAAAAATCAGTGGTGCCCGAAGTTATGGGCATGCTACAGTGTACGAGTGGGAAAGAAAGATAATTGCCCACTAAGAAGGAACTGTATTAAGTGGTCCATACTG